CACACACCTGCTTTTCCCCCCAAGCAATGAACATTACAGAGAGCACATTCCTGTAACTCATAAATAAGCAACCAATCACAGCAAAAAATTGATGCACCATGTGCATAAAATATGAGGAGGTCCTAAATATATCACAAAAACACATTGATCAGGTCAGCAGTTCATAACCACATATAAAATTGAACTCAGTAATGCTATGAATATCTTCCTGAATCTGGTCACAACATATTACAACTTACACCCATAATGACATGAACATAAAATGTCATACAACAATTATACAAGTACTATATTGACTAATACCAACAAATAATACAATAGGAAAGAACTACAAAATGAAGTGAAAACAAAATGAAATGAAGACTCTTTGGAAACTGAGAAAGCAAAGACCTTCACATCAAATTTTTCAATTAACTGCATGATCTCTTGGCCTGAGAAATGCAGTGTGAACCTGCATGCTCCTAGGGAAAAGCAGACTGAAATATACCTTATTAAAATACATTTTCTACTTTCCCCCTTTTGATCTTCTGAAACCAGCACTGTTCATGACTGTTGTTCTTAGCTGGTACATGCACAAAGCTACAGATCTAACTGGATGACCTCTAGACATAGCAAGTATATCATAAAAGCCATTACGCTATTGACACACCATACATCCAGTTACATCACTGGGAGGGATGTTAACATAAGCTCAGAAAGCAGCATTGAAAGGTAAAGACCACAAATGTTGAGTCTCAACATCATGTTCATGTCCTGGTGTTTACTGTATGCTTCACGTGAACACCGAGTTCAGTGGAATCCAAACAGTTTTCTGGTTGAGAACTTACTCCCATTGAAAAGGACAAAAGCTCACACAGTAGAGACCACAGTGCCCCAAATGATTCATATTTCATCGCATTACGGAGTCTACTAGAAATCGCAAACTTGCGACCGGTTCACTCCAGAAGTCCAAGAACGTGAGTATGCGGGATCACTTGCCTTAATCCTGGCTCACATCGTAAATATCCTCCCCATGTTAACTCAGCACCACAAATGCCTTAAGCCAAACGTGTTTTCATCCGCGAAGTATCATCTCAGAACATTTGCATTTACCGCGCAGGGCCCCGCCCCCTGGCCTTCGCGGGTTCCGAATGTTATGGGAACACGTGGCGACGAAAATCGAACGTGCGACGCGCCAAATTTGGCCACAACAGTACGTGCCAGCGTATCTGCTACCAACCAGTAAATACTTTGTCATTTTATCTACGCCGTTTTATGTGCTGTGTGCGGATCAGTGTAACTCGACCTCAATGAATTGGTGTGCTGAAATATCAATTAATTGTTTGGAAATATTGCCTAGACAAGACAGGATCATCTTTGCAGCCATCCAATTCAATTTCCTGGAACCAAAAGCATCAATTAATTGATTTAGCACCTACGAGTCATGCGGGTGCGTCAGACGGCCTACTTGGATGACACTAGCAGGGATCACGTAAACCTTTGTGATATTATTTTGTTCATGGTACTAGTATGAAAATGCTGTTATGTGTCAGACAATGCCATCCAACACCGGACCTCCGCACCGCGTCCCCGGCCCTCGCTTCACTCATTGCAAATTTAACTGAGATAAACAACTGGAATTGGCATCCACCTCCGATCATGGTCAGGGCCGGTGCATCGGGTAGTGGGACGATACACGGAGATGTCACTAAGCTCAGTCAAACTCCACGGGGACCCGGGCGGGACCACCTGACATTCAGACGGGACCGAATGGCCACGTCACGACGTGATGGCCGCGGCCAGTGGCGCACGCGGGGGAAGGCACAGGAGACCTGCGATTAGAGGCCCGATTTGAGGACTCGGAGGGCCTGAAAAGTCGGCCGGAGGTGGTATTTAGGGTCCCAGCCCCGTGGACCGGCAACTCCAGTGTTAGCCAAAGGGCTCTGCGCGCTGATCAGGAGGCCCCTGAGTCGATAAGGGCCTATACGTTGGTCGGCACCACCAGTAACGTGCAGCCGGCTCCGTGTCGGCATGGGTCTGAAGGCCTGTTTCCAAAGCAGGTTCAAACCCGGAGCCAGCGATTTACATTGGTTGGAGCCCAGGCCACTGTCAGGGCCCCACAGCGCCTGAAGGGGGCCTTGTGTTGGCGAGGGGCCATAAGTCTGCCAGAGGCAGTGTTCGAGGATGCCCGAAGAGCCTGGGGGCCACCAGGACTGACGATCTACGAACTGATCAGAGGACCTTAAGTACAAAGGGTAGATCGAAGTCTTATTCAGGGGCTCGGCCTGCGGAAACGGACCCTCAAATGACAGTTTGAGGGCCTTTTATCGATCGGGGACCCCCTGAGTCGATAGAGCCCTATATGTCGCTCAGACACCACGCTCAGGCGCCACCAGTATCGCACGGTCGGCTCCGTGTCGGTATGGGCCTGAGGGCCCACTTCCCAAGCAGCTTCAAAGCCGGGGCCAGCGATTTGCACTGATCGGGGCCCCTATATCTGTCAGGGACCTACAGTGCGTAACAGGAGGTCCTGTATTCGCAATTGGCCTCGAACCGACCAAGAGCAGTGTTCAATGAGGCCCGAAGAGGGGCCCAGGCGACCCACCGAAACCGACGATGGAGGGCCCAGTTGGAGGGCATAAGAGCCCTCAGGGTTGGCTGTAAGTCGCATAAAGAATCGCGGCCTGTAGGGTCGTGACCTGAAATATCAGTCAGATGGCCTCTTGCACCGTGTGAGGACCCCAGAGACAACGCGGGAGTTTAAGTCGGCCAGAGACCACCAACGCCGAACAGTTGGTTCCCTGTCAGTTTGAGCCCTGGGGGCCCATTTCCTAAGCAGGAGCAAGGCTAGGAGCCGCGATGTATATTGGTCTGGATCTATGAAGCAATGGCCGGGGCCCACAATGCCTGACAGGAGGTTATGCGTCGGCTAGTGGCTCCGGTTTTTAACGGACTTTGAGGAGTTCTGAAGTGGGGCCGAAGGGCCCCTCGAGACTAGCTCAGAAACTAGAGGGGTTCAGGCCTTGAGAGATGTAGGCCTGTGAACTCCACCAAATGATTTTCAAGATCGTTATTTCAGTTCAGAACCCCATCCAAATGCGGAACAATCGCTTTAACAGTTACAGCAGCACGGCAAATAGAGATTCTATAATTACTCTTTTAGCTCCACCACCAGATTCCAGCAGCGCTTCGTGCAGTGCTGTAAATATCAATTTGTTTTTATCATCAATCTTAAAATCGCACACGTGAAATATACGTTCAGACTGCATCCTAAATTCATGATGTGACGTCTTACAACATTCTAAGATGCTTCTGTCGGACACCTCGTTTTCGTCCGCCCGTTGGTCACGGCTTAGTGTTAGTCACGGCCGACGCTACGCGTAGCGTCCCGATTGGTGAAATATCAACACTATTTCATCGCCGCGTAGTCTAGATTGTGTAATTGTCATCAGCTGATATTTAGGGTCATGCGTTAATGTCAAATAACGTTATTTCACGTACTTGTCCGTTTTCGGGGCGAGGGTCGAGACGTTGGTGATGGTGTGACGCGTAATGGCGTGTTTAACCCTAAGTGCCTGTGGCTATTCGATGACTGGAAGCACGTTTGTTCAAAATCCATATCTCTGACGTCACGACTGTCATACTTTTCACAGGTAATCGGCTCATGATTGACCGAGTTGTCCGTGTCAGCGTATTAGCCACTAAACGTTTATGCAAACACAACAGTAGAACAGGTTGCCAAATGAGCCTCGTTCTGAGGTCATGGATGATTTGAGGCTTTTCCGCAACCTTGCCGACAGTACATATAGCTGACTTCCTGACAAGTACGTTGCCGTTCTTGGATATCGGTGCGATGCATGATTGACGAAGATGTGCGCGTCCTGCGTTTTTATCCCTTATTGTCTGGAGGCTGTACGGTGACCTTTAGAGGTCAGGTTGTCAAGGAGGTCAAGGTTACCTGACGTCACGACGAACAGCCGACCGTCTTCAGCTTCGGATTCCTTATGTTTTAACGAACATGTATCTGGGTATGAATGAAATGTTAACTATACGGTGATACAAAGCATGGTGGGTCAGATACATTATTCGATGTAATTATATCTTCAACATCATCGCGAATATTGCAGTAATACCGTATGACCCAACCGGCCATGTTTGTTGTTTCGTGTGATAGGCCCCGTCTTGCGCCTACGGACCGTGGCAGGCATACTCTAGGCATTTGTACAAAATCCACCGCAATACTGACGTTCAATTTACGTGGTTGTGGTAAAAAAGGGTAGGAACGAAGAGATAGACGGCACTGTTTTCCCTTATTCTCGGGAAAGTTCAGTGTAAGCCCTGCCACGGTGCAGGGAAAGAATTCAAGTGAAAGAGGGGACCCGCCACAGTTTCTCCCATGGTGTGGCGCTGATCGCGACTGCATGTGGCATAAGGCTTGGTTGATGCTGTAAACTATCAGTGCATGTAATACACACATCCACGGGCCACTCAGTTTCAAAAGCACGTTACATTCTCAAATGAGTTAACATTTATCAATCGAAAACCGAAGTAGAATGACACATGTCCAATACGCGGCTCACTGAGTACGATTTAAGCTTGTCGGCTCGCACTTCTGCTCAATTTATTATGTATTCGGACGCTTTATTTCAATATTTTTGAGAGACGGGTTAAACTTGCATGGATTGTTTTAGGTCCCAGATGGAAGATAGCCCAAATGCCTTGAGCCCACTGACCCCAAAACCTTGCGATAATTCGCATCCCCCCCCCCCCCCCCCCCCACCCTCTCCCAGATTAATGCGCCATTGGGAGACAGGCGCACAACAATTGAAGAACTGTGATAACAAGCCAAGAGAGGCTCAAAGGAAGAGACCATGCCTGACCATCACCAGCCAATGGTCGGGCGGGTTGTTAGCCATGGGTCTTAGCTTTTAGCTATAAGCTGAGCGAGCCTTGCGAGCTTATGAGTGTCACATAGAGATAAACCAGCACAGTTAAAATAAAACTTTTATGGAATCGAGCATATTTTTATTTCACGATAGGCGAGTGGCTCACTCTGCTACTATTTATTCATCATACAAGCGCATAACAGTACAACATCTTGAATAAAACGACATCGCTGCACCACTTAAGGCAAAACAGGCACAACCGAAATACAAGCAAAAAAGAACGAATAAACGAATAAACGCGAGTGCAATCCACAGCGGGCTACGACAACCACAGAGGCCGGGGCGGCAGTTCCATGCAGCCCAAGTTCTACCAGCCGCGCCACCCGCGCCAGTGGAACTCAGTAGAACTTGTGGATGGTGACCTTGTCGGCGCCCTCGCTCTCGCCCGGCGCGAAGTCCACCTTGATGCGCCGAAACAGCGGCTCGTCCGGCTTGTGGATGATGACGTCACGCGGCACCATGACGTGGCGCGAGCCCTTGCGCGTGAAGAAGGTCATGAGCAGGGAGGAGCAGTCGCCCGTCTCCTCGCTGTGCACCACCGTGATCTCGGTCGGGTAGTTGGTCTCGAGCGAGATGATCTCGTTGTCGGGCGAGTCGGCGCTGGTCTTGATGAGCGTCGTGCGGTGCACGGGACCCCTGAGCGCCGGCTCCTGGTCCTCGATGTGCACCTGTCCGGCGGCGGGCGTCGAGTCAGGCCAGCGGCGGTGTCAGCGCCAGGACGGCGGCGCACGGCACGGTACGGCAGGCCGGCCAGCTCTAGGCGGCTGGCCTTGGCCCGCGCGGGTCAACGGTCGTGACCAAGCCTCACGTGGTCAACAGCGGCTCCGGACCCCATTCGAGTGTGATCTGATTGCTCCACTTTAAATTCGAATGACCCAACAAATGACCTGATCATCCGAACTGTAGTCTTAATTCTTTGCGAACTACTCGACCAGCCCCCTGAACATTTAGGGAATGATTTGAACATCAGTGGCGTGGCCCAGGTCCACGCCTGTCCCGGTCTGGCCTGCCTGGCCCATGACAATAGCCTGCCCCGACCTTTGAACACCGATTGTGACCTGCCATCCCCACAATCACCCGCGACCTGTCCAGCCCCGCCCTGTCCCAGCCACTGCCCATCATTCTCCACGGCAACCCCCGCTAACCTCGACCCCTGGTATGACCCGCCCCGACCTCTGACCCCGGCATGCGCTGACCTGCGGCACGGTCGGCTCGGTGAGCGCGTTATCGCCCGAGAAGCGGGTGGGGCCCGGCTCCGGCTCTGGCGCCGGCGCCGGATCGTCCAGCATCTCCGCCTCGAGTCCGACCGCCGCGTCCGCACTGCCACCTAGCGGCGCCGGTGCAAACCGGTCGTCGTCGACGGCCGTCACCGAGCCCAGGCTGGTGTCGGCGGCCGGCGGCATTTGCAGCGAGATGGAGTCCGGCACGTCCACGTAGTCGATGGCCGTGACGTCCGCCTCCGATTCTGTTCGGAGCGGTGGGTAGACTGTTACTGGGACCACGGGATCACGGGTCGGTACCATCCACGACGGATGGCACCAACCATTAACCCTTTTGCAAGCAGATCGGAGGCACACAGGTCCAACTATCAGCAGCGAAAAGCAGGAGAACGGAGGCTTGAGTTGGTGAAGCACAAATGACAGTCACCCTACGCAGATCTCGCTCGATAAAACAAAATCACTGCTGGGCGAGAAAATTTATCTTCATCCAGGTGAGCGGCCCGGCTGGGATTAACCAAAGAACCATTCCATACATCGAAAACGGTCAAAAACCACAGCGCGGCCTCTCCACCCAGCAGCAGCAGCAGCAGCAGCAGCAGAAAACGACGTCCCCCCCCCCCCCCCCTCCTCCCGGCCGCCTCACCGGTGCGCTGTACGGCGGCCAGCGCGTCAGCACCTCCCACGGCCATGATGGCGGCCTTGCCGCGCGGCGCGAGCGTGGCACCCCGGCCGCGACTCAGCCGGAACATCTGCCGGCCGGGTAGCACGGTGACGGCCAGGGCGCCGGACGCCGGCGCCGGCGCCGCGCCGTCGCCGCCCGGCGGCCGCGGCCGGCGGCTCGACACGCGCCGAGGGCGCGGTGTCTTGCTCCTGCGGAGACAGGAGGGGGGTCAGACGCATGGGCTGGGGTCAGGGCACGGTGCTGATCGGGGATCGACACTGGGGAGGGAAGGGGGACAGAGGCCGGCCGGTCCAGTGAGACGCATAGTGACGGAATGTTGGAGGCCGGAAAACGACGCCTCGGGCGTGAGCGGACTGATGACGTGTCATGAACGTGCCAACTCATGTCAAGCCATAGGCGGGCTGGTGACGGACAAGCCAGATGTATAGAAACGACAGCTTAGACCGGTGGCACGACAACTTAGACCGGTGGTACAACAGCTTAGACCGGTGGCACGACAACTTAGACCGGTGGCATGACAGCTTAGACCGGTGGCACGACAACTTAGACCGGTGGTACGACAGCTTAGACCAGTAGCACGACAGCTTAGACCTGTGGTACGACAGCTTAGACCGGTGGCACACAAGCAGGGCCGTTCCTTGACGCAGACCACACACGAATCCGATTTTTACATGCTGATCTCGTGCGTATTCAGGTTGAATGGAAGCTTTGTTGGCAAGTTACAACCTCATTATCGGCGGTTCACTCTCCGTACCGTATTTTGTAGGTGTGGTCGATGGGCGTGTCCGTCTGGATGATGTCCTCCTCGCGGTTGTACAGGCCGGCCACGTAGGTGGCCAGCGCTCCGACAGTCTCGAACTGGCCGGCGTGCTTCTCACGCAGGTGCTGCTTGAACTGACGCGCGTAGTTGGTGCCGAACAGGGCGCCCTCCGGACAGAACTTGCACATGTAGACGCGCAGGCCCTGGTGCCGGCGCGTCGTGATCACGTGCTTGCGCAGGTTCTCCTGTGGCACCGGTTGAGGTAACAGATAACGCGGCACCCGGCCTCTTTCGGCAACGTGCGCTGCACCACACGACCCGAGCTTTGCACTCACACGTTCTGCGACAAACGAAGCGCCTTTAATCTCATCTCTCATTTCACAGCGTTCGTGCCATCGATACAAGAACCCAGCGCCGCAGCTCGGTCAGCGCACTCACGAAGTTGTTGGCCTTGTACTCGCAGAAGGGGCAGGGGTAGGGCCGGGCGCCCGTGTGGATGCGCAGGTGGCGCTTCAGGTGCGGTGGGAACCGCGTGGCGAACGAGCAGTGCGGACACTGGTACGGCTTCAGACCACTGTGCATGTTCACGTGGCTGGGGAGAGAACGGGCGGAGTCATGTGGCGCCCGCTCCAGCACGGGACCGGCTGCCGGTCGTCACGGACTACCGGCGGGGGGCGGGGCACCACACAGCTGAACAAGGCATGTCATGCAGAGAAGAGGCACAGAAGGGATGTTGCGGCACCGTGGCCAGCTCCGATCCAAGGTTACGTTACATTGTTAGGTGGATTCACGTTTGTGACGTTCGCAATAAACTTAGGGATTGTCTCATCGCTTGTTGGGCTAATCCCTAGGTCATTAAAAGAACCACGATTTCCCTTCATTTTCATGCTGAAAATGTTAGGTCTCATGGCCACCACCTCACTGTCAAAACACGGGCTCTGTTACTCCGTCCTTCACACACAACTAATCCATGGTTTCTAACCAAAGCGGCCGACTCCCCCACATCAGTCGAACTGCCTCATGTCCCCCTGCCCCACTCTAGTGGGCACTATCCAAGTCAACCACTCACGGCAGGGCGCAACGCCGCTCGTAAAGTTGAAAAGAGACGGATGAACCGGATTGTGATCCACTTTCTACTCTGTCACCAGTAGGACTAGCATAGCATTGCTCTACAGCTGGGACGTAGCAGCTGCTCCCAGTGGCAGATACAAGCTGGAGCAGCGCATTAAACCCCAGCAACACAACTGTTTGCCTCTTCTCCTCTCCCCTGCCCCAGCGGCGGTTAAGACGCGGCACCCGCCGCTGCCCCCCCCCCCCCCCTCCCACACACACGCCGCTTCCACCGCCACTGCACCCACGTGTCAAGCGTGACGGCCGTGCTGCACGAGAAGGCGCACTGGGTGCACCGGAAGCGACGGAAGTCGGGGTGTCGCACGGCGATGTGCCGGTTCATCAGGCTGGCGTGCGTGGCGGCGTAGTCGCACCCGTCGGCCGGGCACGTGCGCTGCTCGTCGCGGTGCACGCGCGTCACATGCATGCGCACCGAGTGCCTGCAACACGCGCCTCGGTTAGCGCCGACACGGCCCCGGCTGGCGGAGGAAACCACGGGTTTGTTGGGCGAAAACCCCAACGATCCATTATTTAATAGAAGCATTTGCAACAAGTGCCGCGAGCTCGGGGAGAGAGCGCCGTTAATCCCACTGAAGCGTACACTAAGCTCATACTTAGGTTATGCTGATACGCCGTAACGGCTGCACTGACGCGGAACCGGCATCCCGTGCAGGATGAGAGCGCTGTTGTCATTTCTTGGGCCGTGAGAACACTGAGTTGTATTTGACACAGTGCGTCTTTCTTGGCGATGCGTACCGCGAATGTTCCTTTGGGGCAAATCCCTGGCAGCCTGTCCCATGATGGTTAACGCCGTCCGACGGTCTTAACCAAGGTAACCCAAACGCGCCGCGGACCGGTTCAACTGCAATTCTTCTCATCCTCCATTCAGCGCAGCGCACAGACCAGCGATCCGCGTGAGTTAGAACACAGCATTCCTCGTCACTCAGAGCCCGGCCGCCCTCACCGCTGGTCGCAGAACACAGACCAGCGATCCCCGTGAGTTAGAACACAGCATTCCTCGTCACTCAGAGCCCAGCTGCTCTCATCGCTGGTCGCAGAACACAGACCAGCGATCCGCGTGAGTTAGAACACAGCATTCCTCGTCACTCAGAGCCTAGCCGCCCTCATCGCTGGTCGCAGAACACAGACCAGCGATCCCCGTGAGTTAGAACACAGCATTCCTCGTCACTCAGAGCCTAGCCGCCCTCATCGCTGGTCGCAGAACACAGACCAGCGATCCGCGTGAGTTAGAACACAGCATTCCTCGTCACTCAGAGCCCAGCTGCTCTCATCAGTCACAGCCCAGCAATCCTCGTCAGCCAGATCCCAGCCACCAACTCGTCAGCTCTATAACACGGCGCCAGCGGCGTCGGCGGCGACGCCTCACCCGTTGCTGAACTTGCGGCCGCACAGCTGACAGCTGACGTCCGGCTGGGTGGCGCGCTCCACCCCGCTGATGGTGGCGCGCGCCGCCGGCGACCGCTCGACCGGCGCCGGCGCCGGCCGCTGCCGCCGCCGATGAGACGTCACCTCGTGCCGGTCCCGCTCCGACTCCACATAGAAGTACCTGCCGCAGGGACGGCACGGCTCGGTGCGGTGCGGAGTGCTGGGCTGGGGCTCTGATGACGCTCGGGTCAAGATGTGTGGAACCGAACATCTAGAAACGGGGCTAGGCTAATTCAATACACGGCTGAATAGTTTTGAATCTGCTATTTTTCGGGACGTTATGCGTCTTCCGATGCCCTCAGATGCATGTGGCATGCACATGCCATGCACATTGCACGTGCATCTGTGTGCTATCAGGAGGCCGTGGGCGTGGGCCGTGATAATGTTCTGGATACGCAATTGATATCAAACATCAGTCGTATATTTGGCCCTCATGTGGACCACACCCCTTTTCAACCAATGCTCCAAACGCTCCTGAGAACATCCACAGCACACACATGTCTCGTGCACCACACCACAAGCTCCGCACGCCTCTGCACGACGAAAAGACCGATTGTGATAAAGAGCCGACAGATGATGCACGGATAGGCTCATTGGTCAGACGAGGCAGCGGCTTCTGAAGAGGCTTTCAAAAACTACGAAGGTTCCTTATGCTGCAGTCAGATCAAGCTGCGACGCTTAAATCCCCAATATCGCATGACACTGCTTGAAAGTTATCGGGTGAAATGATAGGAACAATGTCTCCTTGCTTTAGCAGGTCTATACCGTATTATAACAACAGACATGGTGTTCTCAATAGCTTGCAAGAAGCCACAGCATATCACAGCGCAAACATCACACGACCGGTGAAAACCAGGCAGCCCGTGCTTCAAATGTGGTCGCCAGTGCTGAAAAACTGAAAAACCTGACACCAATGTACGGTCACTGCCACTTGAGGGGGGGGGGGGGGGGTGCTTTCGCACGCCGAACTGGCGTTAATGATCCAATACCACTTAGATATAACTTCCCGGTGCGTTATCTGTATTCATATGATGAGGTCTGTCTAGTTTCGTGTCTATTCAATTCACAAACTAAACGATAATTTTGTTTAGGAGAAGAGGTCCTCTTAGACGTATCACAAAGGTGCGCACCCAGACACATGCATGAAGACGTTCCCCTTCGGAAGGAAATGCCACCGGAGCTGCCGGCAGAGCAGCCCGCGCTCCGTTCTCACCTGGAGCAGTACATGCAGTGAAAGGGCGCCTCTCCGGTGTGCTTCATCAGGTGCGACTTGAGCGACGCCTTGCGGAAGTAGAGGTCGCAGTGGGGGCAGAGGTAGCGCAGCGTCTTGGAGGGCCGCGCGCCGCCGGCCGCGCCGCCAGCCGCGCCGCCGCCCGCCGTCTTCTTGCGGCCCGTGTGCGGCGGGTGATGGGTGATCGACTCGTGAAATAGCACGTTCACCTGCCGCGGCGGAGCGGGCAAGAGCGGGATGTGACGCCAGAGCAGGAGACATCAGTCGACAGATGCTGAACCGGTTACCCGGACGACACCCGTCGACTTCATCACCATGTCAGGACTCGACTCATGACCGCGTGCACAAATACAATGTCTTCATTGCGAGGTGCTCACATCGAAGCCCGGAAGCCTAGCACTCCCCAGTCGGTGGCAGCACTAAAGGGCATTTCAAAGTTGGGAAAGTGAGAATCTTCTCCTAGTGCGCATTCCTTGTGGACCCAGCTGTGTGCTGAAGCTATCGTTTATGACAAGTTGTCACTTCTGCGCTGTTTAGACAATTCACATTAGGATGCAGGCCCAGACCACAAATGTGGTTCGACTTCAGAGCCTGACACGTGACGGATGCAAAGGGTCCGCTCCACAGCCAATCAGAATGTCAATGAGGATCAAGCCGCATTCCTCGAATAAAGGTCTACACGTGGAGAACGGCCGAGAGGTATCAGGAGTCACCCTGTCCAGTTTACGACATTTCGGACGCCGCTACACATTTCATTACCGGTTCCAAGCGCGCTATAAATTATAACTTGATGAAGACAGCCAGTGATATGAGATGGAGCACGGACAGGCGTCATAAGACATTTCTTCATGACTGCTGTACATGCACTCCTCTGCAATGAATAAGCACATTCGTTTCCTAAATTTAGGAACATTTATCACATATCGATATCTTTTCCTGCGGAGCTTTGAACGAATGCAATACTGCACGCAGTTACAGCTCTTACCACCAACCAGATGTAAAAATAACATCCCATTATTTAGTGAACACCCTATCCAGGAACCTGGCCTGCCCTCACGGCAGCTGTCATCAGCTAGCATCCCACCCCACTCCCCCGCCAGCCCTGCAGAGACCCTCGCCACGTCACGCCGTCCGCCGCCACCCACCTTGAGGTTGTTCCTGAAGCCGCACAGGCGGCACTGGAGCTGGCCGAGGCGCGTATTGCCGCCGTACTGACACAGGCTGCTGCGGAAGTGGCGCTCCACGTCACGTGGCGTCGTCAGCTGCTTCCCGCACGTGTTGCACGAGCGGAGCGGCGCGTGGCTGGCACGGTGCTCGGCCTGCCGGCCGGCCGGCACCACCGTGTCGCACTTGGAGCACAGGTGCAGCGCGCCGGCCGCGGCGCCGGCGTGCCGCAGCACGTGCTGGCGCGCGGCGAAGAGCAGCGGGAACGCGGCGCCGCACTCGCCGCACTTGTACGCCACCCCCGAGACGATGGCGACGCGCCCCGCCCAGCGCCGGTGCACCTCCGAGTCGAAGTGCTCCGGGCCCGAGACGGTCGTGGCGCAGAGCGAGCAGCGTTTGTCGCAGCGGCGCAGCCAGTGGCCCTGCGCGGCCGTGTGGCGCTGCAGGTCGGCCAGCTGGTTGCAGGAGAAGCGGCACGGGTGGCAGCGGTACGGCGCGAACGTCTGTGCCGACATCATGCCCTCCAGCGTCAGAGCCAGCAGCTGCGCGGCGTCCGGCTGCTTGGCCGCTGCCTGGGCGGCGCGGTGCGCGGCCACGTGCGGCCGGGAGAAGATGTGCGCGGCGGTGCTCGCCTCCTCCACCGGGCCGCAGAGGGGACACTCTGGCGGCACAGCCTCCTCCGCGTCGTGCTCCTCCGCGCCAGCCGGCCGCGCGCGTCTCGCCGCCGGCGCCCGCGCCTCCACGTTCAGCATCTCCTCCACGGCGCCGAATTCGTCGAAGCCCTCGCCGTCTGGCCCGGGCTCGACAAGACGGGCCGCCCGCGCCGCGCGCACCCACGTCGGTACCTGCAGGCCAGCCTTGCGCTTGTCGAGCTTGCGCGCGGCGCGGCTGCTGGTCGGCTGTAGCGCCGACCGGTGCGCCAGGTCCACGTGCTCGTTGTATGAGGTGCGCGATTTGAAGTCGAGGTCGCAGACTTCGCAGCGGCAGCCGAGCGTGACCCTGGGCGGGCGGGCACCGGGTGAAGCAGCGGGCACTGGACTGGAGGCCGTAGTGGAGGGGGCGCAGGACACAGAAGAAACGAGAGGTGCGGAGGAGGCGGCCGGGGGGACGGCGGAGGAGGTCACGGGTCCGGCACCGGAGGTCACAAACTGAGAGCCCGGCACGCTGGAAACACTACCAGGAGGACGGCGGATGATGCGGATCGTGCGCTTAGGGGATGGGGGGCTGGGTGCGGCGCTGCTGGAATTCGAGGCGGTGGTCTCGGTGTTCCTGACAGGCGGACCGCGAACAAAAATCGTGGAGCTTGCTGGGGAGGCGGGACGGTTATTTTTCGATGTCGATGCCTTGGAGTAGGTGGCGAGAGCCGTGCGATCTGCAGGAGGGGACTTACTGACACCCGTTTTGTGGTTTCGAAGAAGCAATATGACGGATTTCGAGCCAGTTGCCGACGCAAGCTTACTTGAGGCAGCCGACTTCGAAAGACATTTAGAGACGGTGTTCCGGCTGGTGGAGGCCGCGGTGGAGGGCGTCGGCGTAAGCACACGGGGCTTGCTCTCGGCGGGAGGCCCAGTGTACAGGTTGGAGGGCCTGGAGCTGGCAGTGGAAGGACCAGGAACAGAGTGAGTGAGCTTGGAGTAGCTGGAGACGGCGGAGCTGCCGCGCGAGGCCGCTGGCTTGGAGCCCCCGGGCGTGGCGCCGTGATCTTGAGCGCGTAACCGGCAGTCCTCAACGGACGAGCCACCGGCAGCGGCGGATGACTTCGCATCTCCAGGAGCGGAACTCAGGTTTGCGGACGGCGCGTTACAATCCACGAGAGCGCAGCCGCGCTTCGCGGAGGGCAAGCTGCGCTTATCGGGAGGAGACTTCCGCTTCGCAGAGGATGAGCTGCACTCGCCGCCGGAGGAGTGGCGGCTGGCGGCAGCTGATCCGGACCCGGTGGGGGCTGACCCGTCCGCGGCAGTAGTTGATTTGGGGCCAGCGATAGCTGATCCGGACTCGGCAGCAGTTGTTCTGGGGCCAGCAATAGCTGTCCCGGACACGGCCGCGCTTGACCCGGACCCAGCGGCAGTTGATTTGGAGCCGGCAGTAGCTGACCCGGACTTGGCGGCAGTTGATCCGGAGCCAGCGGTAGCTGACCCGGATCCGGCCGCAACTGGCCCAGACTCGGCGGCAGTTGATCCGGAGCCAGCGGTAGCTGACCCGGATCCGGCCGCAGCTGACCCGGACTCGGCGGCAGTTGATCCGGAGCCAGCGGCAGCTGACCCGGACCCGGTCACGGTTGAACCAGACCCGGCGGCAGTTGATCTGGAGCCGGCACACTCACCCGCCTCCCGGTGCGCCACGTACGTCTTGAGACCGCAGATGGTTTGGGAGCAGGCCAGACACCGGTGCAGATCGGCAGCGTCGCCTGTCGAGACACACAGTGAGATGGCAGCCAATGCAGGAACGCCACACTTCAAAGGTGGGAACGGGAGAGAACGCACGTGGACCGGCCAAATAATATGGGAAAGCGGCGAAGTGTCAGGCAGGCGGCGTGTTATTCCACAGCCGTGTGTTGTATCGGAGCGAATAAAGGACTGGTTACCTGTTCACACTGGCGCTCTTTTAACGCGCGTCGGACACTTAAAAAAGCTGACGTCATGAGAAAAAAGGTGACGTGTTAAACATACCCAGCGATGCCCAAATTGGGATCCGAAATGGCTTGCTCACAGCATTGTTGATCATGCCTGGAGTCGCAATGTACGCTTAAATTACCTTTACTAATGGTCAGATAAATGAACGGCTACAATTGATACACCACCGCTGATGGTCTACAACTGAAACGGAATTGAGCTTCGTGCCAGACGTTAAAAGGTGCGACCAATATTTCGTATGGACTTCATTCCATTGAAAGAGTGTCTGCCATGACCGCACAGAAGATCAGGGAAAAAGGCAAACTCTATGTGTAAGGGCGATGAATGGCGAAATATAGCCGTGTCCGACCTCACAAAGCTGAGTTTGGCTTTTCCGCGTTCTGGAGGTGAGGAAGGGTGTACGTCCTTGAATTATTTAATTCGCGCGTGCATACCTGCCTTTGGATGCAGGTATTAAGGCATATTTACCCCAGTCCCACGTTTGTCACGAAAGAGCAAACACTCACCACCAGTATATGGTATGACATCTCAATGACGTCATATAGGGAGCTGTTGCTGCATTCATGGGGACCGCCACAAGGGCATGACGATATTTGGCTTTACGCCTTCGGTATTAAACGTAGGGAAACAGCCTCCAAAATAACGATTTCCACCTATTTGTTACTTTCCGCAGAGACCCAGACTGTAGCGCAGGGACTCATCTCCTTCGGCTACAACCGACGCTACAACCGACCTCCCCGACGCAGCCTGTTGGGGTGTGTTAAGGTACGTACGAAGGGAGGGCTCCGGGACGACTGAACTAGGGACGACTGAACTAGTGACAACTGACCCACAACAACTGAGCCAGGACGACTAAATCAGTGACAACTGGCTCAATGACAGCTAGCTCGGTGCCAGCTGAGCCAGGACCAGCTGAGCGAGGGACAGCTGACCCAGGGACAGCCGAGCCAGAGACAGCTGAGCCCGGGAAGGCTGAGCCAGGGGCAGCTGAGCCAGGGCAGTTGAGCCAGGGCAGCTGAGTCAGGGGCAGCTGAGCCAGGGCAGCTGAGCCAGGGACAGCCGAGCCAGGATAACTGGACCGGTGGCAAATTACCCAGGACATTTGAGCCAACATTACATCAGTGCATTCCTGCTGAGCTAAGCATACACCAGGAGGCAGGTTAGATTACTGGATAACCGACGTTATAGAGTACGCATTGCCTATATTGGCTGTTGTCCATCAGCCATAACGCCTATACATAACGTCCATGTTTGCTCTATAACGTCGTTTAACCAGCATCTCCCGGTTTATTGAAGGAGCCTCCTGGTATATGAAAGTCATTAAAGGTCCGAGGTCATTGAGCTCAGCATAAGCACACCGAACTCATAATGCACAAAAACGAGGAGCCGAAGGTCTTACTGGCTTATTTGAATTGAAAAATTAAGGCAACTGAACCAGGGACGTGCTTTGGCTCACTTTTTATGGCCAAAAGGTACCGCACTGAAAGTGGCGCGAAACAGAGCTTGGCATAGCCTTTACCAATTCATGCCCTTACGAATGACCCTTTGCCATCCGGCCAAAGGACGCGCTGGACGAGTGACAACGATGCTGACGATACCGCACAACACCAACAACACTATATCGGACATAGTGCGGCGAGCTGAGGACAAACAAGCCGCTCGAGACTTCGATTTGGGGGTGGCCTGGTGGAGGCAAGGGATGATGCGTTGACTACGCTACTGCCGAAGCCTTCAAACGAAAGGCAACGCCAGAAGATGCAGAATAGAGAACGACCTTACCCAGCACTGGTTCACAACCTCACGCCCGATAGTAAAAATATGGCACACTTATGCCTCCATTAGGGCCTGCCATAAGTTGCGTGGCGATACTGGAGTGATGGATGCCAGATACGGAGCTACTACGGCTCGGCTGCCCCTGGTTCATATGTCAATGGGTTGCCCGTCGTGATTCAGCTATCCTTATTCATTTTCCCCGGCTTATTTGTCAATGGGTATGTTATACTGGTTCAGATATCCCAGTTCAGCTGTCACTGTTCATTTGTCTCTGGTTTGTTTGGTTTGGTCTGGGTCAGAGAGAGTTTCGGTCCCTCGTAACCATTTCAGGGCTGTGGGATCAAGGGAGGCGGACCGCTGTGAGGGAAACACACATGCACCTGAGAGTTCTTATCCGGGACTCAGCTCAAACAGGGACTCCCCTGTGGGGAGGAGGGGTAGGGCGTGCTCGGTGCTCGGACGGAGCCTTAGCCAGGGAGCACTTATACCCGCTCAAGACTGGTGCATGCAGTTGGCCCCGGATACGCGCGGTGCAGCGAGAATGCAGGATGAAACGTGAACGAGAAAAGAGGGAAGAAATACAGATGGTCCCTGATTCAGTTGTCACTGGCCCAGATGCACTGGTTCATAGTGAGTTGCCACTGGTCCAGCTGACTGGCTCAGCTGAGTCAGCTGTCTGGCTGCCCGGAGGAAGGAAACACAGGCACCGATTTGTTTGATGATGGAGTGGCTGAGCAGGGGCCCAACAACCTAATCTCCCCTTCAATGCTATCCCAAAAGAGTGCAAAAACAGCCCTGGTGGGCAAAGGATCGGATACAACGGCCTGGTACGGCTGTGTTCGTTTGGTAATGTGCACCATCTAGCGGTACAACTAGAACTAGAGCTTACTACGCCCAGACGCGGCATGGCCGGATAACGCAGAAATGAGTGCCGACATAACACGTTTAACACATTTCTGTGGCTAGAGGGGAGACATGCTAAACGCGGCTTGTTCGCCTTCCCCAAAGTTCACATTTCGCAGTCATCTTTGCCACACTACACCACAGACATGGCGCCGAAACGCAGAACCATCGAACTACGGCTACGACGGGCGCCATCTTTGCTAGGTATCACAAAACTCCGATTATAAGGCAAATTCCAACAGGATTAAGAAAACAGAACGATGGGAAACACACATGCATATGCTATGTACACACGACTCACCCATTTTCGACGACAGAGTCCCTACGTCAGCGAAAAAGAGCAAAAAATCACGATCAAAATCGACCGTACCACAGCTCGCTGATCCACACTGGCTCCGCCCTTCGCCCCGCCCCCTGGTGACGTAACGCCGCTAGGAGTGCAATCCATGGAAGGTGTCTGTGTTTTCACTGAACGTCAGAGTCGAAGCGGCAGTGGCGGGGAGTGTGCGCGCGGGGTTCGCGGTGCACCACGTACGGGACGCTGGCTCAAAATTGGCTTCCTGGAGCGATTTTGGCGCATATCTAGGCGAAAGCGGACCGTTGCAGTGTGCAGGAGAGGTTGGCGATTCGAGGCGGACACCGAACAATGCAAAATTAGTCGGTGAGACCCCCGTGAAGGCTGACAGGTGACTGGTCCGACCGAAAATGCCTCGCCGAAAACAGGACTGCCCCAAACGGATGCAATGTGAGTACCGGCTTCATAGTCGTGTCGCGTGCGGTATTTCCGGACGACCGGCCCTGGCGCCCAGGGGCTGGCTTTGCAGGTGGTCGAATGTGTCGCCGACCACGTGTTAGTGGCTGCAACTGAGAATCACGAGAACGACATTTTTGAAATGCGTTTTTGTGGCTCTTGCAATGGTTGGGAGCTGGATTTCGTGCGTCATTGCTCGCGTTTCTTGACTCGCAACATCCTATTTACCGGAAGTCAAGATCTTCGGACATGCGTGTTTGCTGAAAATGGTGTCGTTAACGATTCATATTAAGCGCCTCTCACGGAAGTCGACATGACGTTGTTCGATATTGTGAACGTTTTTAAACCCCCTTTGATCAAACCAGCAGTCAACGTCTCTGCTCAAAAAAGGAAGTAAGGTAGATTATGACCATCCTCGCCGTCATCACACATGCATATTCATTCTGTGTGCATTCCCAACGCCATCTTGACATTCGCTCATGTGCCCCTCGAGCGTTATACACTGAGAAATAATTGCAAACTCCAGCTTCGTGGATTTAGTTATGTACCCGACGTCGTCGGCTGGCGCAGATCGCTGGATGGTTTTACCTATGATGCGGAAAGTCGTCGAGCCAAAAATAGACCGCAACTCCAGATGGTGATGGATTTCGAATAAAAGGAGGTTATTACGTTTAAGTGTTGGTGACTTATATCCGAAGGTGGGGACTTGTGTGGCGCAGTGAACGCGAATGGGACCTATTTTGAGAGGCAGTCGATGTGCAATAGTGTCGTGCCGCACCGCGTTGCGTCATTTCATGGAAACCGTAACCACCTGAAGTTCGGACTGGACTCCTCAACGGCGCTCGTGGCGATAAACACAGCATGGTAATTCACTCTTAAACCTTAAACGATTCGGCCTCCGAACTTTCCAATCAGCTCTCGAACTCGATCAGCTTGGGTCGGACATGCGCCCACCACACTTGAACGCGACCTTTTTTAGGCGGGTACCAGACCGCGGACGGCTATCACCACACACGCTCGTTAGCCTTGTCACTGAAGCTCGTGGGCAGGAAGCTTAAAGCATGCATTAACCGGGGGGTGCCGGTAGTGTGGTGGTTCACGCGTCTGCGTTACGCGTCTGCGTTAACCACTACGCGTTTGGGGAACCAGAGGTACGGGATTCGATTCCCCGCGGTGCCAGTCCTTCCTGCCAGGGCGAGAGGTAGGCGACGCCATATAGCCTCAGCAGCTGAGTGCGTCGTAAAGCCCCAATGACACACACACACGCACATGCATTAAACGGCTGTCATCGTCCTGCGCAACACTTAACCCGCGTAGCCGAGTGTTCTAGTGTAGCGCATCTCCTCTGGTTATGCTGACTGGCTCATGCTTCATCGCTGACACCATTATGTGCCATGATGTGCGGTGCTGGATGTCCCTCGATGGAAACATATACACCTTCCTCCCTCTTAATAGTTGCTTTAATGAAACCTCCTTCAACATGTATCCATGCAGAGGCGACGACACCAGGGGCGCAGACGCTCCTTTTTTCAATTCAAACCTCGGAGTTATCATACCGACAGGAGGGCCCGGAAGACTAAGAGAACGTTTCACCAAATCGAAATAAGTGCCCTTAAAACAGGCAGGAGACAGTATATTTCCCGTAGAGGGCCCTGAATAGTCCAAATCAGGCCTGCTGGTCACCAGGAGGCCTCAGGTGAGCCAAAGGAGGCCCTATCAGATGCATCAGGACCATCGGGTCCATGAATACGCAGGAAGTCCTGGCAGCCCAAGAGGAGGCTCCGATTAAAAGAGATCGCTGCCAGACAAGGATAGGAGGGCGCTTTACTCAATTACTTACACCTAAGGGGGTGCAGGAAACGTTTCGAAATAGGAGCTCGAATAGGGGGCCCCGGGGCTTGTTTTCCCCTTGGTCGAAGAAGTATGTGACGCTGCCTCTGGTCCATGCGAACCGCTCCACGCAAGTGCCTAGGAGAGTAAACTGTACCAACGCGGCACTTCATTGGTATTTTCCTGTGCAAAGTGACCTATTTCGAGGCCTAATATTGGCACAGGTTATCAGGGAAAGGGCACAAGAGCGGGGATTTCAGGAATCCATGATATGAGGCCATGAGCTCGGCCTCAGAATGGAGAGAGGGGGGGGGGGGGGGGGGGGCTCGGTGACAGAGCAGAACAGGTCCCTGGCAGTTCACAACTGGGTGGTCTTATTCAGCTTATGCAACGGACATGTTTCCTATTTGCTTGCCTTCCTGAGGCTGAGAAACTGTTATATAGCACTGTTTATGCATATGCAGGGGCATAACAACGTATTCAGATGGGGGAGGGGGAGGGGAACTCGAACCATCTACCTTGCAGCTGGGCTCGTTTTGCATCTGAGCTCCTCTTCTCTCCCCCAATCTGTAGCGGAGTTCTTCCTCACAGCGAACCCCTCCCCCACCCAAAAAGTTCTTGTAAATTATGAAGAAATAAGAACGTCGAGTAAAACAGCATGTACAGATAAATTTGCTGTCCAAAAACCCTTTCCCGATTTCTGCTTTCCTTCTTTCATATTACTGTCACATGCAACAGCACAAATTAAAAGAAACGCGCGAACTAATTGGTCAAGTCTTTCCTACCTCTAAGCTTAGCTGTCCAACTCTAGGAAGGAACCAGTATTTGGGTTATCCGAGATGCATTAAACGAGTCCTGGGTTGGTACTGTCGTGACATTCATATGGTAGCACCACGGGCTCCACGAAGGCTGAAAGGTTGTTGTTTAAGCAGTTTTTGAAGACTTCGTTCCCATTCATTGCTCCAGACTAAAAAAATATATCCGTCAAGGTGGTGTGGTACTTGATCTTCTTCTCCCTCTCGGCGGCAGAGTGTATGACAGGATGTACGTCACCTCATTGTATTCTAGTGGCACCTACCTGCTATGAAATGTGAACATGCACAGGAAAAGTGGCGTAATCCCTTCAAGTACTAGTTGAACTGTACTGACAGCTAGTTCTTCGAGACATTTCAATTGTCGCACCGGTGCACGGACAGGGAGGCGTAATAAAAGGGTGTCTGGATAAGGATGCAGAATTGAACTTGGTTCACATAGATGGGCTAAGATAGAGTTAATAATATTAGGACGGAAGTTCGCCACCTGCTAGCATCAAGCTTAACAGGTCGATACGACTTGGCAAAAACAAGAGTCGTAGAAACATGACGGATGACGTAGTGGAAACACGATGAGTTTAAACGATCACACGAGCTTTGTTTGCTGCTTTCGTTTCCTTGGCTTTTCTGCTTATGCTTTGTTTTCCTTGTTTCGTTGCCTTAGTTGAGTGACCTTCTGTCCTTTTCTGTATTTCCCATAACTCAGTAATGCTCTCATGACGTTTCCATTGCAAAGCCAAGGGAAAAAGTTGAGCTCTTCGAATATTGGGCATGCCGTGCAAAAATAACGTGCACCGTAATTGTCACGCTCTGCGCCAGTGCGTCATAAATGCCGCATGCTGACAGGAATTTCGAAGGCAACATGTGACCTTCGTTTGATGAAAGAACTTCAAGCGAGGCAGGCGACAGCGTCCATTGTCTTAAAAGAAGTGTCTGATTCTGGAATCACATACGAAAAATCGACAGATTCGACAAATCGTAGCTTAGAACATATCTTGTTCGATCTACAGGGAAGAAGCTTTTTTCAATGTCTGATCTTTCATTGCTCTCCAAGGCTCTTCGGCGGTTTGCGTTGAAAATTATTTGTTAAAGGTGTCAACTCAAAATTGCCTTTATTCCATGGTGAGATGAGTTCCCCGCTTGCAACTTTGTCTGTAGATTACGATATTTTTGCGATGAGTTCATGTTTTCGTTACTTCATCAAGCGACGAATTGCTAATTGTGTCCCACCTCCTTTTGATTCCTTGAGACAGGAGCCGTTTTGAAACCTTATTTTATCTGGACAATCTTGTCGCTGCTGTTGGCAGGAGCCGCCGTTTGTCATCTTCAGTTCACATTAAGAATGTACTTCGCTCAGACGAACAGCGCTGACCTTGTTTAAAGGCAGGAATGGTGTTGCTACGGTCCGGAAGACAAACGGCGGTCGAACAGGACTTCCGATGAGAGGACCCTGAATCAAGACTACAGATGGGTGCACTGTCTTGTGTTAGCTGTGTCCTGTTCGGGCGTTGCACTCTCTTGTGGATGTTGCCGCCACATGGAGGCCGATGATCGCGCTCTCTATACACTGTCCCAACCCCTAGTATCACCGCGCCGCAAGTTCTGTCTCAACACCGCGGAGATTTCCGAAACAATATCAATCTCGCCAGACGAAACATCTGTCAATTACGTACACCGCCGGTTTTAGCGGCGGGGCTCCAAGTTTATCCGATTCGGAGACAATCGCGGCGCAGCGCTCCGCCTGTCGGGACAGTCTCGGCCTCGCCGCTCGGTCTCAGGCGCGACGCGACCGCCGCTGTCACCCCTTTTTCCGCGTCCAATCAGGAGGTGTCTGCCGCCATCAAACCGGCCGACACTGAACCGGCCGCTAGCCGTAACTCGAGCGGCGCCGTCGCCTTCAATCGTTCATACCTGGCTGGCGCTGATTGAAAACCGCCCGGAAAAAGCGGCGCGCGCGGGGCGATCGCGACGCGCCGTATCGGATTCGGCCGCGCCGCCGCCGCATTGACGACGTCCGAAAAGGGTGAAGAGGCCCGGCCTTCGGGCCTAATCCGCGCCGCTGATGGATTCCTGTAGGGACGAGGCGGCGGACAATGGTCGACCAGTCCGCTACATTTCTGCTCCGGTTCGAGAGGCTCGCGTCGCGCGCTGAGGCGTTGTTCGCCAGCGAGCGCAGCCGGCGTCGCCCGGTGGCCTGTCCGGCCCGAGGCTCCCGTGGGAGAGTGGGGCCGCGCCGTCCGCCGCCCGCGCACGCGGCCGCAGATCTCGAGCGCGCCGGTGGAATGGCGCGACAATCTGTGGAATGTTCCTGCGCGCGTGCGCGCCCGTCGACAGTTTCCTCCGCGAGGCACG